CTGAGCCAATAGTCCTGCTTTCTAAAGGTTCTATCGAAAGTAACTTTATCATAGGTTTTTATAGGATTAGTCACTAAGCTCCAATCTAGTGTTCCAAATGAAAATTGGGGGGAAACCCCTCTAATCACTTCATTGTCTCTGAAGCAATGAGTAATCAAAGAAAGCTGAGATAGCCCTCGTTTTAAATCCAAGCATTACTTGCTGCCTCTGCCTACTAAGACAAACTGCCAGTCGGTCAAATCCTGGGACACTCTGTTGTCCTTAATGAAATGGAAAGTCACAAAACCACATTGGGTATTAGTAATAAAACTTTGTTCAACCATGACATATTGAGGCATCATGGTATTTGCCAACTTTTATTATTTATTTATTTATTCATTTATTTTTAGAGACAGAGTCTCATTTTATTGCCCTCAGTAGAGTGCTGTGGTGTCACAGCTCACAGCAACCTCCAGCTCTTGGGCTTAGGCAATTCTCTTGCCTTAGCCTCCTGAGTAGCTGGGACTACAGGTGCCTGCCACAACACCTGGCTATTTTTTGTTGCAGTTTGGCTGGGGCCAAGTTTGAACCTGCCACCCTCGGTATATGGGGCTGGTGCCCTATTCACTGAGCCATAGGCACCGCCCTATTTGCCAGCTTTTAAAAGTGATCGGGATATTAGAATGCTAGAGTTGCAAAGGAAATAGAGAGTTGGTTATCTGGCCCTCACCCACTCCTTCCTGCCCATGCTCAGAAAGTCAGAACCCCAAGCTAACCACATACCGCACAAATGAAGCAGGTGTCATGCCAAGTATGCCCCAGGGCTTCGATAAACTTGTCACCAGCCTCCACAGGGAAATCGCAGCCGTGACACTTAGTGCTGAACAGATTGATGTAGTCTGAAATGAAAGACAGGGTAAGGACTGGCACCCAGGAAGACAGTGAGAAACATCCTGGCCACATTGACCCAAGGCCAGGATACCCCCCAAATCAGTGGGCAGGGGCAGTAGGTGAAACCTGTTTATCATGGCACAGACAAAATGTTCAGTTGCATGACTGATTTCTTTTTTCCTTTTCAAATAATTTGTACTGATGTTATGCAGACTCAGGCTTAGTCACCACCTTGTACTGGTTGGATTTGCAGACACTTTCTGGAATTGTCATCAACTTTGTGCATGGTGATCGTCTCCTCTGCTTCTGTCATCTCTGATATCCCAGACAGATCAATCCCCAAATAGAAAAAAGTCCACATTTCCAAATGGCTATGTTTATTTTGGAAGAATTTTTATGAGTTATAGAATGGTCTTTGCTTGGACATTCTTAGATCATTTGGCATTTTTTTTTTCACAATTACAAATGGTATTTGTGGGGCAGGGCCTGTGGCTCAGTGAATAGTGAGGGTGGCAGGTTCAAATCCAGCCCCAGTCAAAGTGCAACAAGGAATGGCTGGGTGTTGTGGCAGGCCTCTGTAGTCCCAGCTACTTGGGAGGCTGAGGCAAGAGAATCACCTGAGCCCAGGAGTTGGAGGTTGCTGTGAGCTGTGACACCACGGCTTTCTACCAAGGGCAATAAAGTGAGACTCTGTCTCAAAAATAAATAAATAAATAAAATAAATGGTATTTGCAACTTTATTGGTGCATATCCTCCACCCCCAGCCAACAAGATAATAGCATAGGAAGTCCCTGAGTTATAGGTTCTGTAGGTTTGTTCTTAAGTTGACTTTGTATGTAAGTTGGAATATGTGCATTTACTTATTACCTGTAATATGTAGTAGCCTCCATTTGTAAGTGCGAGTTATATGTAAGTTGGATATTTGTAACTCTGGAACTTACTATAATAGCCTCTATTTGTAAGCGTGTTGTACAAGTTGGATGTTTATAACTTGGGGACTGCCTGCACTAAATATTATTTGTATAATAAGGCTTTGCAGTTTACCAAGCATTTTCATATAAATGGTTTTATTTACAAGTACCTTAATGTCACAGATTACATCTCAATTTTCCTTGTATATTTCTAGCATAATGACTGGCACACAGCCAATACCCAACACATAGATAGGAAATGAACAAATCAATCAATGAATGAACCTACTGTTCACAGATTAAAATACTTTTTTTGCTTGTTTTTTTTTTTGAAAAACAGAAAAACTTTTTTTTTTGAGACAGAGTCTCACTATGTCACCCTAATAGAGTGCTATGGAGTCATAGCTCACAGCAACCTCAAACTCTTGGGCTTAAGCAATTCTCTTGCCTCAGCCTCCTGAATAGCTGGGACTACAGGCGCCCACTACAACGCCCAGCTATTTTTTTTTTGTTGTAGTTGTCATTGTTATTTGGCAGGCCCGGCCTGGGCTTGAACCTGCCACAGGCTTGAACCCGCCACCTTTGGTGTATGTAGCTGGTGCCCT